TATGGAAAAGTTTATATGTTTAGTAATGACAGTCTACAAACATTTCTAAAAGGCGTGTTTGTTATTTTAAACATATGGGTAAAGTTAATCTTTAATGTTAGGGGACACCACACTTTAAAAAGCATGCATTTCTTTTCGGTTAATATTATTCTTTACATTTCAAGATTATGACTAAAAATAGTTTGGTCATATACAGCAGGTGGATGTTAAAAAGGATCTACCCTGGATGTCAAATACTCTAGGTACACCACAGTTTCTATTGTCATTTTACAACTTACTGATTATGCTAATGTATTGTGAGCTGTAGGAATAATCATTTTTAGTAAGAGTTCACCCCAGACCGAAAACAAAAAATTCTTGCGAAAGTCTACCATAGATAAAGTATATTAGAAGATGGTTGTTGCTCGATTCAAAAATAGGGGAAAAAAAAAAACTTACCGTATTTTGCGCGCCATAAGGCGCACCGGACCATAGGACGCAGGGAGGTTCTGTGACAGAAGCTGCAGTTAGTGACCGCTGAGACAGGTGGCGCTGTGATTACAGCACCACGGTCTCAGTGATCACACAGAGCAGACAAAGAACATACGTTCTTAGTCTGCTCTAGGGGCTCTATGGCGAGCTCCTATGCCGTGGTCACGGGTCCCCCAGAGGAGCGGGGGACATCGAAACCCACAGCGGGTGGGGCCTTGACTCGATAGCCGCTGCTCGGTTTTAATACAAGTGACCCGATTAGATCACCCGCCCGGGGCCAGAAACTGCATGTTCCGGGCGTCGGGCCTGCTTGTTCCACGGAAGACGTGCAACCGTACAGTAGAAACGGTCGCACGCCTTCCATACACTGTACGATCATACGATTGTGTATGGGCACCTTTAGATGTAGAATATTCAGTTTTGATGCATCAAGCATGTCTGCCATGTTCTGCGTCTAGAACCCTGGACTTAAACATAACAATATGAAAGATACTACAACCAATGAGATTCACACATTCAAAAAAGTGTGCTAAGGTGGGGGTAACAAAGCCAGAACTAGGGATGTCCCGATACCGGTACTAGCATCGGTATCGGGACCGATACAGGGCATTTTGACAAGTACTTGTGCTTGTCAAAATGCCCCGATACATAGTGCCAAAGCTGGCACTATTTTTTTTCCCCTGACCTTCTGGCTGCTGTTCGGGAGAGCAGCGTCGAGTCAGTGCTGGTCAGGTGGGAGGAGCTCCAAGTCTCCCTCCTAATTTAGCTGGCCGGCTAATATATAATATTAGTAGGTTAAATGATCCATAGTACAAGTACATGTTATGTACTACAGATCATTTAACCCATTCATGTTAGCCGAGGATAATTGTAAATCTATTGCTGCAGTGTACTCTCTATATAGTACATGTATGTTACACACGCCCAGTACACTGCAGCAATAGATTTACAATTCTCCCCTGCTAATATGAATAGGTTAAAAGATCCATAGTACATAACAGTACAATATGTAGCTGTACTATGGATCATTTAACCTATTCATGTTAGCAGGGGAGAATTGTAATTCTATTGCTGCAGACTGCAGTGTACTGGACGTGTGTGCTGTATATGTACTATGGATCATGATTTAACATATTCATGTTAGCAGGGCAGAATTGCGAGCGCCTCCCACAAGCTGAGCACCGAGACACGATGCAGCGATCCTGCCCAGCGCCGACTACGAGAGGCACCGCGTGAGGCAACTGGGATCGGAGTGAAACTGTGACTGAGGGAAGCTGGGACAGGGCTGGCTGTAAATCTATTGCTATAATGTACTGGAAGTGTGTACTGTATATGTAGTACATATATGCAGCACACACCTCCACTACACTACATCAATAGAGTTACAATTTCTCCCCTCCTAACATGAATAGGTTAAATCATGATCCATATTGCATAACATGTAGTTGTACTATAGATCATTTAACCTATTCATGTTAGCAGGGGCAATAAGTGCAGAAGAGGAGTGCATAAGGTATGCCAAGTTGTCTTAGAGGAGTGGTAATAATAGTATGACAGTGGACAATATGTGCAAGAGAGAAATGCAGAGGGTATGACAGCAGGTAGTATGAGCAGGACAAATGAGTGTCAGTCAGGGGATCTTGTGTTAGGTACCAGGCAGGAATGTGTTTTAGAAGGGGTGTTGTGTAAAGTGCAATGAAGGGATGTGCATCAGTGTGGCTTGGGGAAGGTGCCAGTAAGGGATGTGTGCCTGTAGGGAGGTGGAAGTGCCAGAGAGGAATGTTTGTCAGTGTCACAATGACAAGTAATGGTTGCATTGGGTTTTGCATCCTTACGGTGTACCAAGCTGGTGTAACCAGAGTACTGACTGTACCAGAGTCATCAGGTTGCATTTGCGTTCCCTGCTAGCGAGCCAGCCTTGCCTAATCCGTCTGCATGCACAACATCCCATTAGTGGCTGCCCTCTGTCTCTCTGCTAGCTGCATTGATGTCAGGCAACTTTGTGCCAACTATATGGACTAGCAGCACCTCCAGACATGCAAGCAGGGCGAGTGGGGAGCTGACTGTATGGATAGACCACGTCAGCTGTAGGGACAGCTGTATTGATAGCTGAGATAGAGGTGGATGCATACAAGGGGGGCCTGCATGGGAAACTGCTGCTAAGCACCTGGCCTGGTGTGAAGAGACCTGGGAGAAATTTTCAGGTAAGCCAGGAAGGGCCTGGCCAGGATACTCCTGGCGCAGAGTGGCAGAACTGGTTTGAGTAAGTGTGGGCTCATTCACACCATTTGTGTCCGAGCTGTGCTGGCTTTTTTTTCCCAGCGCAGCCCAAATGCAAGACAGGGCAATCTGCCTTATCATGGGTGATGATAGTTCACACCACTGCATTCTGGCGATGTGCGCCTAAAAAAGTACTGTATGCTGTATCTGTATGCTAAAAAAAAAAGTGCAATTTAGCTCGATTGAGCACATTGGCACTGTCCGAGCACAAGCACGCAAACAGCCATGCGTTTGAGCAAGGTTGCTGGTGTGAACAAGGCCTGGGAGTTCAGGGGAGCTGGTTAGCAGTGTGCAGTAACCAATTCTGGTCACAAACCTGCCCACCACCATCATTAGTATGGAACCTTACAGAACCCTTCCATGCTTGGCAGTCATTATATAGGAGTCCAACACCAAAATGCTCTTTTTTTTATTTTAAATTTAAAAAGGAAAACTATGAGGTGAGTGCTTTTCACTCACCTCATAGTTCTAGCCGACCTGTGACAATGAGACTGTCAGAGATCGGCTCAGTAGAGCGGGAGGTGAGCGAACACATACCGGCGTTCGCTCACTTCTCGATCCGGTCACGGCTCTCTGCCATGACAGGGAAGGGGCTGGATTCCCCCCTCCGCGCTCCGATCCTCCAGCGCTGACTGGCGGAATGGACGGGGGAGGGTACAGCTGGCTCTGCCTCTAGATAGGCAGAGCCAGCTGTCAGTCATGCAGCTGGGCGGATCCAGACATAATTGTGGGGATCCGCTTCAGCTGCGGCGTCTCAGTATACCGCGAGCTGTAGCTCGCGGTATACTGAACTTAGGGTAACGGGAGGACACAAACTAGCATCCTCCCGTCACCCTAAGGAGAACTATGGGGAAAAGCCCTAACCCCATAGTTCTCCTTTAACTTCTAAAACAAAACATTTTATTTGGAATGCAACACCATTCACCTCCCCCTAAACCCTTGCAAAGTACTGAACCTTCTACATTTTTATTTATATGTATAATTGGGCTGAAGGGGGAAGAAAAGCTCTCCCTATTCTATTTTTACTTCTTATTTTCTTCTTCTAACTTTAAATTGAAAAAAAAATAACTGGTATTAGGTTTTAAGCATTGGGATGGTCTACTGAAAGAGTAAATGACAAACCGTAAAAAAAAAAAAAAATTTAAATGGATTATTTGACTAACTAAATGGCATCTAAAGTTAAACTAAAGCTAAACCGTTATTTTAGTTTTGAATAGAGTAGAGAGGGATTAGAACAACTGTTTTATTACAGTCTGTGTCCCCATCAGGGAGATTCCCCCCCATAATGTTTCTTGGTGATTGTTATTACTAAAATGTGAAACTAAAAGGCAATCCTACATTTTCTCCTCAAAAATAGGAACAGAGGAGAAATCCTCCAATGGGGACGCTAGTTCTGGTGACCCTGCTGACCACAATGGATTTCCTTCACTTTGCAAGGATGTCCTCTCACTTCCTGTTGTGGACATCAGCCAGGAAGTGAATGGGATACAGAGGGCAGAAAAAAAGCTGACAGGGGTTTCCTTACTCTATCAAAAACTAAAAAAGATTTTGTCTGCAGTTTTACTTTAAATTACTAAAGGGTAACATTTTAATCTAGGGAGTTGAAATTACTGTCCTCACATTGTCATGCAGGTAATGGTTTCACGCCTGCGAATCAAAATTTAAAAGCAGTATAAACAAAGCTGCAACAATTGTAAAAGGTTGACCTTGGTGTAGATCAGTCTTCTTTCAACATATGCAACTTACAAAAATTCTCAAATACAGCAAAAGTTAAAAGAAAAGATCCTTTCACAGCAGTTCCATGGTAACAAAGTTATGGCAGTGAAAGGGTTAATCATACAATCACACAATCAGTAATCAGAGTGATTACCCATCAAGTCCCTAGTTCCCCTACATACCATTGTGCAGCTCCCCCTGGAGATCAGAGTGATCTCTACAGTATAGAGCTGCACAGCAACAAGGACTTTACTTAAAGCCCTCCCGGCATGGGGAACTTGCCAGGAGGACATTCAATTACAGTGTAAGGTTTTGAATAAACCCAAATGTGTGTTGACTATTTGTAAAAGTAAATGTAGTTTTCGAGTAGTAGTTTAGTTAAAAAGTATACTTGCAAACTGGTTTAAGACAATATAAATCTAAAAGTTTGTGGCCGTTTTAAACTTTATGCATCTAGACAAAGCATCAACTGATATGCTATTTTTAAGCTAGAACGCCTATATGTAGATACTGCAACTATGAAAATTAGTTACCTTGTACGTAAAGCTTGCCAAGCTGCATCAATGTCTGCATACAGGTTTTTTTCAGATGGACGCCCCGAGCTAGCCCCATACCCAGAATAATCGTATGAGAAGATGTTACAGTTGATACGAGTCCCCAGACCCAAGTAAAAGCTGCTCATCTGCCCCAGATCCACTGCATTGCCATGAGAGAAGAGGAGGGTGAACCTACAGAAGGAAGTAAAAGGAAGTAATAGTTAGCTGCACATTGAAAAATGTAAAAGACATATGTATATAAAACTTAGTGGACAAAGAATTGTCATTGTGCCTTAATAAAAGATAACCTAGAAATAGATGAGTAGCGATTAAGTATCTTTTGTGTTTGTGCATAATTAAGTCTTGCGAGTGTAGTATAGCAAAATATACAATTACATAGGTGAAATTGGTGGAAAAAAATATATAGCGAAGCAATAGAGCTCATTTACTAGAATTATATTTTGTAGATGGCAGCTTATTAGTCTTGCAACTTTTGGCCATAACATCAGTTTGAGCAAGAGCGCTAAAAGGATGGCATGAGCATCACACAAAGTGGTAATACAACTGTAGCCTTCATTCAGGTTGTGATCAGCACTAGATATGTTGAGTACAACTCTAATTTCAGTCTGTTAGGTTTGCATCCATGCAAGCCTAAAGACACTATACATTTGTGAAAAAAAGTCTGTGAACCTTTAAGAATCTCTAGCTTTATGCATGAATGGCTACTAAGGCATGCGATTCGGCAAGCCCTGTGACACCTTGGGTCCTTTATTTTCTCCTTTAGTGGCAGCCGAAAGCAGTCCTTACTCCTGCACTGAACAATGACCTTCTGAGTACTGCTTGGTGCAGAAGTACTCTGAGGCCAGGCTGCGTGATCATCCTGCCCTTGGGGGGAGTGGGTCTATGAGAAAGTGGGTTAAATGACGCTGGTCATCATTCAACTTGGAAGACTGAGAACATCTAGTGGTGGAAAAGTACTGAAAAAGGGACAGCTCAAGATTGGTAAGACATTTTGTTTCTATTGAATATACCAAAACAATCTGTTTTCCCTTTATTATGTTATGAAGCATTTATTATCACCCCAATTTTTTGGTAAAAGATGGGGTCATTTCAGGGAAATAATAAGTACTATCCTTGTCCCACTCCTTACTGATATGTCCCTTATAGTGGGGGGTGCTCGCAGTGACAGCGGATGGCGCCGCAAGTGTCAGCAATTGTAGAAATGTCACCAGCACACCAATCCTTTTAAGATAGCAAAAGCTTCATTTATTGAAGTTTTTTGTCATATGACCAAACAAGCGATTTTGGGACCGCACAGGGTCCCTTCATCAGGCAATGCTATGTAACAAGTGTGGCGCAATCGTCGTTTTTGCGCATCTGTGTGGGGGTCTTTAAAAAATTTGTGGGGTAATTGTTTTTTGTGACCAATTTTTTTTTACACTTAGTCCCGTATATGATAACAAGATAGATAAGAATCCCCCTATGTGATATCACATTACAGCGACAGGTCCACTTTATGGAGACATCAGGGGTCTCCAAGACTCCTAATGTCACCTAGGGACCCCCCAAAGAAGCTGATGAAGCAGAGATCTGCTTACCAGGTTCTTTAGCCGGAGAGTGACAGCTGAATGCGAAAGTGATGTTATAAACATCACTAACTGCATTTACAGAATGGGGAGGAGAGCGGACGGAGATAGTGTACTGATCTCCCTACGTTCTCCGTGCACGGAGCCACACTGCCGGTCCCAGATCGGACACCATGTCCCCAAAAAAGGGTATAAAATTCATTTCAGTACAGCGCTGCATGACGGAATAAATGTCAGTTAAAGTACCGCAGCGCTGAATACTGAAAAATGGCCTGGATGGGAAGGGGGTTTAACACCGCGGATGTCAACTGGTTAAAGACATCCTGCCAGAAGGCTCCCGTCCTGCCATTTTTGAACGTTCGGCGAGGTGGTTACGGGGGAAAAAAAACGAAGAAAGGAAAGGGTGCAAAAAGTAATTTTCGGTTTCGGCCTGTCAAATTCTGCTGCAGGAGGTGCGTTGCAGTGCCATTCATTTCAATGGCACCCAAAAAAGGTGCCTCCCACCCACATGGTGATCGCCCCCACTGGAACGAACGGTACCGCAATGCGGTGCATTCTAGTGCAGTGTGATTGCAAAAAATTATGCATGCAGTTTTATTTGGAAGTAAACTTTGTTTGTAACACTGCATTTGAGTATTTTATTTTAAATTAAGGATGGTATCTCTTTTTTTTAATGCGATTAATCAAACAAAATAAAATTAGCCAACTAGTCAATTATGAAAATAAATCATAAGTTGCAGCCCTAGTTGAAAAGTTTAAATGGACCTATACATACAAAAAAAATGTCCCTTGATTTCTTGCAAGCATTTTAAGTATTAGATACTGAATCCTTACGTCATCATATTGCAAATCTTACTGTGTGCTCTGGTTAATTCTGGTTTTCAACTGCCTAAAGTAAAATATGAATGCATGAAAGCACGTCCCATGTCAGCTAAATTTTTACATACCAAATGTAGACAATCTGGTTTATGGCTCATCAACAAAGTTCACAGAAAGAATAAATATTAGGTAACTATGCCCCGTCATTAGTTATGGTTTGTTCATAACATGACTTTAGTGGCACATGAAGGAAGGGGTGGGGGGGGGGGGGGGGGAGCAGCAGCCATTTGTTGCTGGTAAAAATAGAATTAAATTTGGGCCACTGCTTTCTACTTCCTTGCAGCAAGAAATCCAGCAGCTACCCATTTAACTAACTGCAGCCATAACAGCAGAAAGGTGTAGCATGTATCGTTAAATTAGCACAAAGTCTCCTCTGTCCCAGGTAACCCTAAAGCTGGCCATACACCTTACAACCATCGCATGACTTTCGTTGTGCGATGGTTGTAAGGTAATTAAAATCTCGTACGATCTGCCCATCTTGGACAGCCAGATAGTACTTGCGATCATTGCAAGCCCTCCCCGCTGAGAGGAGGGCTTCAGATGATTCCAATGCTGAGCGGGCAGTGTGCGCTTGCGCACACTGGCCCGTTCAGCATTTGCCTTCCGAGCACGCCACTAACCCGCCGAAAATCTTACGATTTTCGCCAGGTTTTCCAGCGTGCTTGGAAGACGTGAGAGTGTACAGTAGAAACGGTCACACGCCTTCCATAGACCTGCCGATTATCGTACGATCGCGGGATCACCCGCAATTATCGTACGATGATCGGCAGGTGTATGGGCACCTTTAGAATTCAGTTGAACAATCCTGAGTATTCGTAAATTTCCAGGTATCATTTCCCACCATCCCAGAGAGCATCATGACAGCCGATAGGAATACTTTTCATTGCCAGATGCCAGGAAAAGTCAAAGTGCATGGGTATGTAGGGTTCCCTTCACTTCTGCACCAGTCTGAACATGTGTATACACCGTGACACACCAACTAGACAAAAAAAAAAAAAATTAATTGTGGCATGCACGTCTGTCAACAAAGTGTGTTGGGTGCCAATCAGAATGAATGGCACTGTTTTGCACCAAAGCATTCAACATGCTTTTTCTGAACGGGCCGTTGACTGCTATCACGAGAATACATACCCATATTGAAGATTGCACCTTCATTCCTGTTCTGGCAACAAGCTTAACCACTTCCGGGCCGGCCGTAGTAAAAAAAACGGCCGGCCCGGAGTTCTCTAGATCTGAGCGGCCGAAATGTAAAAACAGGCAGCGGTGCCTGTTACCATACAAGCGATCCAGCCAAAAGGATAGATTTCCAGACACTTTCTTTACTAGAGACATTGGAAGTATGGACAAACAGAGGGTGAATCTCCCTATTGGGGACAGCAATAAAAACACAGCAGGGATTCTATCCCTTCCTCACTATCCCTACTAGAAGAAAAAATAAGTTTTGGTTTTACATACACCAATGATATTTCCCACTGTGCCCTTTGGGTTTTGTCATACAACTCATGTCCATTTCCACTTTATGAGCCACAGAGCATATCTGTAACTGTTGATCACAGTTACAATCCTGTGCCACAGCGGAGGCATAACATGACTCTACATCTGCTTTTACACCCAATAATGTCATCACCTTCCTTAAAGGGAATTTGTTGTGTGTTGCATTTGAACGTGCACTACCCCATTGCATAGGACTGAATGGGTGGGAACTTTGATTGGCACCCCAATGCACTAAAGCAGGGGTGCCCACAAGGTCGATCGCGATCTACCAGTCGATCGCGTAGCGATCACTGGTAGATCGCCATGTCCTCTCCTCCCGCCGCTTAAAATAGTAAAAAAAATAAATTAAAAAAAACTTAGTTTTTTTTTTCCTTGCCTCAGGCGCAAAAGGAGCTGGCTACGGCTATGCACCCGTGGTGCTCGTGCGGCTGAATGTGTCAATAGTGGGCGCCCCTGCACTAAAGCAACCCACTTAACATTGCAGCGTGTCGTGTACCACTTCCCAAAAAAGGGTCAGATAAGGTTTCAGCTGCGTAGGCTGCATGTCCCAACATGCTACCACATCTCATAAAATGTGATCCCAGCCTTATAGAACAAGTGTACTTTTAGACCAAGTGCAATTTTTCTTTTCACCCCCCTCCCCTGACCTAAATGATCCCACCCTTGCCGTCCACAGCAGAAGGAGCATAGCGGCACTGGATGTAAACAATAGTAGAAGCATGCCCGTCAGATCTCAGCAAGTATGGATCTGCAGAGGGGGAGGGTGGGACTGTTAAGGTCATGGGTGGGGACACCTTTTTCTTAACATATAAAACAGTGTTACAATTCTAGTAAAGCAGCTAGCTGGATATGAGTTGTAGCAGAAACATGTCTGTTTAATGTAGTTAGAACATTAGTGGAAATTACAACCTGTTACGGAGGTCTTCTTTTTGTAATGTGTTTAAACATTAAATAAAAAATATTACTACCAGTTTGGCTGAAACAAGAAAGGCAAAAAATACCTTGCACCAGGAGAACAGCGGATATACATGCAAGCAATTCTGTTGCCACGGCTACTCTTGGTCATAAAAACCTCTATGGTATCCAGCTCACGTTGACTGTACTGAAAGTCAGCACGATCTGTAAGATGAAGTTTCCATCGTCCCATGAAACCTGTTCCTCCTCTTCCGTTACCAACCCTTACAGAAGCATCTTGTTCTGGCAACAGCGCATAGGTTGCTGGTGGGGGCAAGAATGCCAGTTTTGCCGCAATCCTGCCTGGACATGGCGGACAACAAAAGAGACAGCACAACTCCTTTATGGAAAACCCGTTCATCTCACAGGAAAAAAAAAAAAACACAGCAGTTAAAAATAACTGGTCAAAACTAAAATGTATTTTTGCTTTTCAGTTAAAATAGGCATTAATCATAGTCATCATTAAAAAAAAAATTCAAAGTCATATAACTTCACTCCAAAATTTAGATCACAGCATGGCTGAACCATTTTCACGAAATAAACATAATTGAGGAGCATAAGAAATATAACCGTGCGTGTGCATAGCTCCTAAAACAGCGCTTTAAAGCTTCAGCGTGCATTCAAAACACAAGAATGCCTTGAAGGTAAATATGTTAACAAAATACGGAGTCTTCACCATGCAGAGCGCAGCTGTAAATCAAGGAAAAATACTTTCGGGTCTCTTCACCCTGAAGAAAAATAATTCCAGAAACAAGACGATGGAGCTGTCCTCGTTGTCTTATTTACGCTTCTATGTCCTTTCCAGGTTATCCAGATGTGAGAGTGCTGCAGAGCCAAAGGGCATTGCAATCTGGGTGTGATTGTTCAACATGACCGCCGTCAGGATAAATCCGGATTGACAGCTCTTCATAGAGCAGAATGTTATTAGGAATAATAATGTTAGAAGGAAGTGCAATGGTCACTGATTAGCACTTACAGGAGATATTCCCTTTGTGTCCACCTACAGGATGTCTGTGGTCGTTTGTGTACCTCCAGGTGCTTGTGTTACAGGGGGAAAAAAAAGAAAAAAGGCATCCCCAGCCTTCCTCTATACGTGCATGTTCCTTGCTCCAGGTTGAAACGACAGTTTGCTTAAAGGTTCTCTATTGGCCTTCTGCACCCACTTCTAGGAAAATGTACATAAAAAAAAAGAGGGATTTGTAGTTCACATTACAAGACATATTCAAGCTTAAAGTGACACTAAACTCAGGGATAAAATCTTAAAAATGCGTTCAAGAACCTTAACTATTACCAAGACTATCTTATTTGTGTATCACTCAGCTGTAAATCCTCAAATTATCTCTGAATTGGTGCGGACACTGTCCTTACTTCTGGAGGGTGGCTACTTTTGTTCCTCATAGTCCTTGTGTGTGTTTTAAAGTAGCCACCGCTCAAGGCTCTCTCCTGTGATGGGTTACAACCCCAATACAAAATAGTAGACTAAATATGAGCCCCTGGGGCTCATTCACACTACTGCACTGAAGAAAAAAATGTGTGCAGTAGCATACAATGCACAAGTTAGTGCACGCCTGTGACATCCATTTTACATAAATATGGAGTGTGTCACCAAAATATAGAATTTTTTTGTGATTTTCAATATTTATTATGACAACGTCATGCTGGAGAATATATTTTATATCTATACTAGGCCATTTAGAACCTGACCTGGGAGGTGAAGACTGCTATGGTGTGCAATAGAGAATTTTGAATAAAAATTTGCATTGAATGGCAACCCCAACACATGTCCAGAATGCAGTTATGTTTCAGCACACTGCTGCCCACCATCATAATGTGCTACAAAAGAATGCAGCAGGGTCAAATCAGCGCCCCAACTCATGAAAACATGTGTGCTGCCGCGCACTGCATTCTGATGTGAATGGATCTTATAGAGAAGAGCTCTTATATACGCAATGGTATCAAGAAAATTGTTCAGGAGCCTGTATGTAGTGCATAGATGAGGACATTGTGGGATTCTGGGAAAGCTGAAGATCCCAAATCATATGAGAAGCTGCTCCCCCACAGTGCAGGAGCATCTTCTCATGAGATCTGGCAGTCCCTCTGTTTTTGGAAGAGCTTAACAGTGGCCACATTTACAGCTCTCTGTGTGCTTTAATCTATGTCTTTTCAGGTGTTGCGTTATGACATCTGATTCACTTTGGAGGGCTTGTTCACATTATCTCCAGACCAGAAATTTTTTTATCTGTACCAAAAACATATTCATATTAATTCCAACGGTAAAAAGTAAGCTATCTCACACCATTTCGCTCAGTTCCATAACTTAAAAAACAGTCCAGCATGCTGCATTTTTTTTCTCTGGAACAAACCAAAAATGAACGAAAGAGCATGTAAATGCACCAGAACACACTTAGCCCTAGTTCACACCTAGGAGTTGTTGAGCAGTTCGAAAAGCGCCCAACACAAGAAATCCCATGATTTTCAATGGCCCTGGTTCACACCCGAGCAGAAAAACGACTAGCAGGCAAACGCCACACGCCTAAAAAGATACAGGAGCTTTTTTGGGCAGTTAAGAGCGCTTTGCCACCCCATAGACTTCATTGGAAATGCCCAAAAACGCGCAACAGAAGCATGTTTATAAACGCATTCTTCAATTGCCCGCAATGGTTTATGAGCTGCCAATCAAAACGCGCGTCTTCATGTACGCTCTTTAAACCTTGCATACAAATGTGCACAATGCGCATAAAAGCGAAAATAACCTCGTGCAAACGCGCAAAAACGGTGTGAACCAGGGCTTAAAAGAATCAAAAAACACACATACATGCGTTTGCACAAATGTATCCAGAACTGGTCTGGAGATGGCACGAACAAGCCCTGAAAGGCCAAATAATTGCATTTGATCCACATTGAAAGTGACTTCTTACAGCGCTAGGCTCAGTCTGAATCTCGGTCAGGACACTATTCGCATGGAGTTTGCTTGCGAATAGTACATGTTCTGTGCTTGTATGGCCTTTCTTCGAGTACTCCGGGTTTCTCCCACACACCAAAGACATGCTGGTAGGTAATGATGTGTGTAGTCTTGTTGTGAACCTAGTACGCTTAAGCCCACAGAAAACTGTCAGGGACACATCCGCCCTCGCAGCCCAGTTTGGTGTAGGCTTGAAGGAACTCTGGTAAACTGGGTTCACAACAAGACCACACACATCACTAGTGGTAGGTTAATTTGTTCCGGTCCCTAGTATGTGTGTGAGATAGGGACCGTAGATTGCAAGCTTCTTGAGGGCAGGGACTGATGTGAATGTGCACTGTGTAAATAGTTGGCACTAGATAAATACCTGTAATAAATAAATGTGCCTCAACGCATAAATGAACATACATGCACTACACAGCATACCACAACGCACAAAGCATTCATATCTGTGTGTTGTGGTACGCAATAGCACAGGTTTTGGTTTGTTTTATACATACCAAGCATTGCCATTATGTACAAAAAAACAAAACAAACAGGCTTTTTAACATACAACACACACAGAGGTGTAAATGAGCCTCAAAACTCAAACACTAAAAACAGCCAGAACTTAAAAGGGTGATTAATACCTTTTGTATCACTTGCCCTTCCTACTAGATTGTAAGCTCTCAGGAGCAGAGCCCTGCTAACCCTATTGTACTGAAATTGTATTGTAACTGTATGGTCTACCTCCATTTTGTAAAGCACTGCACATACTTTTGGCACTATATCAATCCTGTATAATAATAAAGTTGATCTATCCCAGCAATTTCCACGGGGCATAAAAAAATGCAGCACAAGTAGAAGTTTACCATCTCCTATCTTTATACAAAGATCCCTCCCTTAAAAAATCCTTTCAATGGCTAAACAATTATTGCATGCAAATCTTAAACCGCAGACTAGGCTCTATATAAGTATTTAAAGTCATTGTTTTCATGAACTTAATACCGAGAGAGAAAATAAACACAGATAAACATACAGCTTACTGATTTGTCAGCTCATCATTAGCACGCAATGGAAGAAGAACGCGAAGCCAAAGGAATGCCAGGGATATCTTCCCTCTCCCCCCCCTCCCCGTGACTTCCGGATATGAGAAAATACCGGAAATGACGTAAGAAGCCAGAAGATTGGGAGCCAAGAGTGGGAAGAAGTGAGGAGTAAGGAGGAGCTAAGGAAGAACGAGGAGGTGTTAGAAGAAGTCTGAGCACAGCTAAAACATTTAAAGTGAACATGTTTCCTCAATAAAAGACTTCCGTGTCCTCTTCTGAGGTTTATCAACTTCTCACTTGGGGAAGAGAAATCCTCGTTTGTTTCATGGAGGAGCTGATGCGTCTCTAGCAGTGTGAAATCAGCATTTCACAATCCCAATTCTTTCAGTTTACAAGCGGTAATAAATTCAAAGTGGTGAATGCAAATTGTAAATAATCTCATAGATCAGGTAAATGATCGCAGACCACTCTGTGCACTCACTTTAAGGTACTACTGACTTGTCAAATACATCGGTTGAAAAAAGTCTATCAAGTTCAACATATAGCCCGAGCCATGCCCTTTCAGACCTCACCGCCCCTTTCACTGACCTTAAAGTCCTTAAAGGAATAATTAGCTAAATTATGGGTAGTCTCCCTGTGTGTACCTAGTTTTACACCTCTCCCCCTAATTACATGATTTTACAAAACATAAGAGGTTATAAGGGTTTCTGGAGGGGTGTAAATGACTGTCCAAGAGCGATATGTTAAAAGAATATTCAACATTTATTGCTAATAAATACTTGTATAATTGCATACATGATTCAAGACAATCTTAATCAATATCAACAACCCTGCAGAGGATACATTGGTATATTCATTATTATCAACTCAATGAATCTATTGATAAGAAGATTTTCTTCGTTTATAAATAAATCATATCTCACATTCATTAATGCATATGTTTAGATATATTGTAATTGTGCTCCTAATTGGCTTTCCGGGCACTTCTCCCTCATATCGTA